CACACACACACACACACACACACACACACACACACACAGTCTACCAATGTTGATGATGTAAATGATATGCTGAATATTTTTCATCATACAGGCCTCCTCCATGTTATAAGAGCACAGAGGTGTCTATCTCCTCTTTTAAGGATCATCTTCAATTCATCACCATGACTTTTANGCACTCTTAAGAAGCGCTGCAGGCTTAATATCACTGACACACACTGAGACACTGACTGAGACCCACACACACATCATGCCATATGGAGAGGAAATCTGATTATATCCAGAGAGAGAGACAGGCAGTTAGACGGACAGGTGGGCAGACAGCACTGCAGTTCAGTAGGTTAGAGCAGGTATGTGTCCAGATGGTGTGTGTGTGTGTGTGTGTGTGTGTGTGTGTGTGTGTGTGTGTGTGTGTGTGTGTGTGTGTGTGTGTGTGTGTGTGTGTGTGTGTGTGTGTGTGTGTGTGTGTGTGTATTCAAAGGCTGTGGGGATATGTTTAGAGTAGAGGTTGACTTACTTCGATCTGTTGATGGAGTTTTCCTGACATTTTTTAAAATTGGCTTACTTGTAAACACACTCAAATTGTTTAGAGTCATTTAAAGGAGAGTTTCACCCAATTGTGACAATCATCTCGAAGCTTTGAAAAAATTAAACATTACATTGCACAGATGTAACTATCTTCTTAAATTAGCTGCTTTAGAGACTCTTCACTCTATTCCAATGGGATCAATTTACGGAATCTATAGATATTAACACATACACACACAAACACACACTCCTGACCTCTTTCTGTCACCCATATTTGGAGTGCTGCCTCTCATTCATATTAATGAGCTTCTCACCATACGACCACTTGGCCTATGTACAGGCTGTGTGTGTGGAGGGTCCCAAGCATAATAAATATTCATAATCTTTCATCAGTATTCATCTCCCCCTCTGTCTGCAGGTCACCTGCAGCAGGTGGACATGTGCAGCTTCTCGTCTCTCGGTCAGTTGGTGCATTTCGGTTTCTCCGCCATGTTTGGCTTTGGTGGACAGTGCTTAGCGCGGGCGGAGAAGAAGAGGTGGATGTCCTCAACGCGGAGACGAGAGTATGCTCTGGTCAAGACGCTGGCTAGGCTGAGGTAAAACACAGAGATAGAAATGTATTTGTTGTATACAGTAAGTTAGATTTACTTTCTATACTTGAAAACATTTCACATAGTTTAAAATGATCATTTAAAACTACACACAACATTAATCACTCATTAAAAGCAGTTCTGAAAGGTGAAGATTTATGATTGTACGGATTGGTGCAGGCTCAGATGTGGTGTGGATCCAAGGATTTAGGTTATATGTAGTATAAAACTCCCAGAACTCTTATTCTGGATTATTTTTATTTTCTGTCCCCCTCAGACCAGAGGACTGTCAGCTGTCTTTTCTACCAGCAAAGAAGTCAAACAGGTGAGGAACATTAGCAATCTGTGAAACAAAGCATTAGTGCTCTTTACAAGGCTCTGTAGTTGATTATTTATACTAAATAATAAAAGTGGAATATAACTGCATGTAAACTTAAATGTGGTAGAGAAACAGGGATGTGTTTATAAATGTCAGTGTGTTATATTGATTGCCTGTCATGTTTAAAACTAAATATGATCTCCTCTTTCTCAGAGACAAGGACTCCGGGTCAGGTGAGAATGGTACTTGCTGGTTCAGATTTCCGTCTCTGTCAAACTAGTTTGATTTTGAATTTTTCCATTTGTGATCAGTTGATGCAGAAGTGGAGGAGTCCTGGACGACCAATCAGGGCTTGTATCTGAGCATCAGCATCATGTCCGTCCCCTGCCTAAGCCCACACACACCTCGAGGTCTCGCTCCCAACACCAGGTACATGACCAGCAGATCTGGGAATGCTAAAGTCAGCTGTGTTGTGACCATGAACGCACCGCGCTGCAGGTTGTTTTCATTCTGTTTTGCTTCTGAACGTTCTCTTCCACTTCCTGTTTGTGACAGTTTGGCAAATGGCAGCGCAGCATTGATCGCAGTCGGAAACACTTCCAGGTCAGAGTTCATCAAACACCTGAAGAGATACGGCAGCTCCAGTGGACAGGTGAGAGCAGCTGTTAATCACAATCTTCCAAACACAATGAAAACATATAGAAATGAATTCTACACTTTAGTTATTTTTATTTGAGTTTCAAATGTGTATATAATAATACAATAATACAAAAGCTTGTATTTGGACATGCCCATTAGTTTTAGGAACACTCAAATTTCTGTTTGAGTGCTTTTAATGGATTATTGATTTTGGAGGTACTCCAAAAATGGATTTCTCCAAAAATGGGCCCTGAGTTCAAACAAAAGAAAAGAATACGAAAGAGACATTCGTAAGTGCAAATACGGCAAAATGTAACCCTGGAAAAATAATTCAAAACAAACACAAGACCATTAAGTCCATTTATCCTGAAGATCTGTATTTGTTATATCTTTAATCTTCAGGTTAACTTTGAGAGATACAAAATGTTTGACAATAAAAGGGATTTTTGGATCTCAAATGTACCCGTTGTATCACTCGACCTCGCCATCCTTTAGGCTCCTCCTCTCACAGAGTAAAAATAAACATAGTAGTTAGATTAGCCTGAGAGACTGCAGACTAACCCACTTACTATATATACGGACAGTGTAGCGGTCACTGTCCTGCAGAGTAAACAGGCTGTTTACTCGCTGACCTACATCCTGACGGAGAGACGGACAGCTCAGGGAAAAACATGACAAGACGGAGCTGTAATGTAACCATGAGGACCCCCATTTGAGTCCCCACGCCGACATTGAACCTCACATTTGAATCTATTCACATGCCTTCTCAAGTCCAACAATCAGGCCAAACCAACCATAATTCAGTTTAGTATAATTTAGGACAAAGAAAACTGTTAATTTTCATGTTTTAACAGTTGAAGTCATGTTGCAAACAAACTCCCACAGACTACCCTGCAAACTTAAAAGTTAAATCATTTATTTGCGATGTTTCGAGTTTGTTTGCAACTTTTGTAGTAAATGTGCTTTTGGTCATAGCTGAAAACAATCTAATGTTTGGCATTTTTGAACAAAATATTACCTTTAATAATGAATAATTTCTGATATTAGTTTACAAATACATTTTGGATGATTACTTAATCAAGTAGTTTATTGTTTATTCATAAAAATAAAAATAAACTACAGTATTCCTCGTATAAATATAGTATATTAATCTGCTTGAAATTTGAACTTCATTTTTTCCCACCATTGGACTCTATAAAGTGCATCCACTTAATTGTAGAAAAAAAACGGAGGAGGAAAGACAGACAGGAAAGAGAGACTGTCTGTCTGTCTGTCTGTCTGTCTGTCTGTCTGTCTGTCTGTCTGTCTGTCTGTCTGTCTGTCTGTCTGTCTGTCTGTTGGTCTGTCTGTCTGTTGGTCTGTCTGTCTGTCTGTCTGTCTGTCTGTCTGTCTGTCTGTCTGTTGGTCTGTCTGTCTGTCTGTCTGTCTGGTCTGTCTGTTGGTCTGTCTGTCTGGTCTGTCTGTCTGTTGGTCTGTTGGTCTGTCTGTCTGTCTGTCTGTTGGTCTGTTTGTCTGTTGGTCTGTCTGTCTGTCTGTCTGTTGGTCTGTTGGTCTGTCTGTCTGTCTGTTGGTCTTTGCTGCCCCCTGTTGGAGCTCCATGGTGTTACAGAAGACAAACAGGGAGAGTCCACAGGGAGGAACCCTGTGACCTGTCCAGATTAACAACCAGATTAAAGAGGATCTTGACAAGCTCTTGACCTGAGAAAACCCAATACACACACACACACACACACACACACACACACACACACACACACACACACACACACACACACACACACACACACACACACACACACACACACACACACACACACACACACCTGTCTGTCAGTCTTACTGTCTGCCTCTCTGCAGTTCAGCTTCTCCTTTGTGGAGACGCACGACGTGTCCGCAGTGAGGATCCGCTCTCGCTCGCTGGTTGGCTGGTCGGAGGAGGAGAGTGAGGAAGAGGGCGAATCCAAAACCTCGCCAATCATCCAATCAGAGGCCTCCGCTTTTACCCTGAACATCGACGGAGAGCTGGTGGAGATTGCTAACGAAGTGCTTATCAGGTGTCAATATAACATCTTTATTATCAACATAAACATTATCAACAATATTATTACTGTCTGAAACAGGGTGGCAGCTAGTTATTAATTGATAAATAAGCTGGGGCGGTACATTTTTGGCATTATTGGGTAACAATTCCATAATTATCTTTCAAATATTAGTCATTTGATTGGTTCCCATTGGAAAGCAGTTTTATTGAAAAGGCAAAAAAAAGTAAAAATGCCATAAATCGAAAAATACAGTTCTAATCCTGCAGCTCTCAGAGACCCAATGACGCCAGAAAGAAACTGCCTACTACCCCAGCTTTAAATGAACACTGTTTTTCTAAAGTGCATTTTTGTGTACGTGGTGCGTTCAGGGTCCACCCGCGGCTCATCACTCTGTACGGGGAGGAGGTGGACGAGGCCGAGTCGACCGTCTCCTGCAGCTGCATCTGAGTCCATCAGAGAGACAAAAACACATCGCCATGGTAACAACAGTGACTCGACAGTGCCTTCTCTGGGTCATTACTGTTTCCATCGCGATGTGAACTAATGTAGAAGCTTTAATCAAAGTACAAACAGAGCTTTGCAGCTTCCTGTTTACTTCATGCATTGTTTTGTTTTTATAACTTCAGCTTTAATAACATAACGTAACTTTTGTAAGCTCTCTTTAACTCCAAACTACCCGTGCTTTGTAAAGTTTCTCACGCCTAGACCAGACTGAAGAGGATAAAGATTTTTTTTATTTTATTCAAATTAATGTTAATATTTTACAAAATGTTAATACCAAGCTCTTCTCAAATGGCTTTAGTTTGCTAATGCCTATTTTTTTTACAATTTTCAATTTGTTTTAACCTGTCCAGTTTCTGGAAGTTAAAAGTATTGAATCCAACACAAAAATATAAAGTTTATGTTAAATGTTTTTGTACAGATGAGCAGAACCAGACTCGACGAGCCCAAAGTGTCCAAAGACTGTAATATTTGAATATAACATTTTTTATTATATTATTCTGATAAAGCAGTCTTTTAACAGATGTAATCATGATGATGAAAACGATACAAGTTGTTGTTTAAATAGAAAATCCTTAATTTTAATAAAAAGGTGTTGCTAAAAGCAGTGAGACTCCAGTGCAGAACAACTTCACAAAAAACAAAAACATACTCATTCATTTAAATACTAAGAAGATATTTCTGTGTGATTTGCATTTGTATGAAATAAACATAAGGGAAGGTAGCGGCTGGCTTCGATGTCTGCATTCATTGAGTATTTTTAAATATCAAACATTACTTCAAGTAGTCTTTCAACATTCAACCCTGCGACTCAACATGTTGCATATTTTGCTGCATTTTCACAATAATAGTTCAGCTTGTATCTAGGAGCAGTTCACCCCAAAAAATATTATTTAATTTCTCGCGTACATAATCTTTGAGTATCCTAAAGAAAGCGCTCTATGATTTAAATATGCCTGAATAAAATGGTGGTCTTTGTGACTTGCACTTAAAAAGGAGGTTCTACAGAAAGCGATGCACGGCCTACCTCATCATGTCTCTGACAGCTACTTCTCTGAACTGCAGCCCGTTCTTTCTACATTGAGTTTGCATTTAGTGACCAACTTATGGAGCCTGCAAGTCACTGCAATTTCCACAACATGGTCTCGCAAACATCTCACATTAAAAGCCTGAAGGGATTTTATCCACAGAAACCTTTGAAGGGCTTTTAATTATAAACAGAAAGAGGAAGGGCTGAGTAATAAATAAATACTTTTTAACTGATACTTATTCTTCACATATAGAAATTGACACTGATTGAATGGCTTTACCATGACGAGCAAATAATAAAATATGTTGTTTTTGACAGGAACACCTTGTCTCACGCAGGAAAAGAAAATGACACTTAAATCTCTATAGTTGATGAGGCGTGGGCTGTGAGGCAGCTCTAACCTGTTAACATGTGCACCAAAATGAAAGCAAAAGCACACTGGCTGCTCAGGTAGGCAGTGTGGCCGAGGCGTGATGAGCCAATCAGAGGCCAGGTTTCCATCCCTTGAGATCAAAGGTCATCAGAAAGTCTCTTCCTTTGGCTTTTTTCAACTTAAGAGAGTCAGAATGGCGGTCATCAATAAGTGTCAAAAGTGATGTAGCATCCCAGGAAGCTCTGAGGCCTTCTGATTGATTCAGGTTAACTTCCCTTTTATTATTCCTCCATCCATTGCTGCCTTCTTTTCAAGTCTTTGATCTTGTCTGGATTTGTAAAGGCACATTATTAAAAATAGTTTTAAAGTTCAAGTTCAGGAGGCGTTCACTTGAGACATTTTATCATCGGTGACACGGGCGTCACGTCTGAAACCAGCTGACTCAGTCTGGACAGATTTCATTGGCCGACGGTGTTCAACGGCAACTTTCCACTGCTTTTGGATGAATTGGAGAGCCATATTTTCACACAGCACTCCATTCATCAGCACACATGTCTCATTGAATCTGTTGCACAGTCACAATGTGAACTCCCTCCTGAGGTCAGAGGTCAGAGTCGGGGTTAGGAAGTGCTCTCTCTTTTGTCGTTTTTAGGAACGTAGTCCCAGCTGTCTCTCTTGAACTCTTCCTCCTCCTTTTTCTGGAACTCCCTCTTAAAGAAACCGGCCTGAGAGACGGACAGGTGGAAGGAGACACAGAGGTACAATTAAAAATGATGCTGGTGTTGCTACAGCAATAATTATAACTTGATACACTGTGCTTTATCCGTTGGTTATGCTGTGGTTAGCTGCAGTTTATGAGTTAATTGACCCAAAGATTTTCTGCAGATTTTAAATGAAGGGACGCAGAACTTCATTTTGTAAAAAAAAAAAAAAACACACAAAAAGTATTGTGCAATATCCTGTATGTGTCTGATTATTATATTAGAATATACTGCAGTTTCAGTATAATTAAATTGCAATATGCGGTGTTTTATCAGTAAATAATATTATAACATACAAGCAATATACTTCCAGTGTATAAAAACTAATATTTACCTTCCACAAACACCAGATGAGAGCAGCCAGGATCAAAAGACCCAAAACTAAACTGACGACGATGATGAAGACCTTTACAGTTGTTGAGGGTTTCTGGGTAAAAATAGCCTCAACAACCACCTGGAAATATACATTGAATACAATTATATATATATGATTATTACTTAAACCCAGGATTATGCATGAGATAGAAGCACAGTACGGGGAAAAATAAAGTTTGTCTCTAGGGTTTTTGGTTTCCAGGTGTGTTACCTGTGCTGCTGGTTGTTCGTGGATGAGGACGGTGTGAGGGCTTTCTCTGGGGTTTGACATCAGCGCTGTGCTCTCCAACCTCATGACACCATGACGACCCTGAGATGGAGACATACATAAGGAGTTTTTCAACAGTTTCTCTAAATGCATTTGAGATAATTAAACATAATTGGCTACAGACACATCAGACTTACATGTTTTACATAAAGTGCCTTTGTGTTCTTTTTATGGAATTGCCATTGCCATTAACCTTTGTGTTTTTCAAAATGTTATTTATATTTGAAAAGTCTAAAAACAGTGTGTGAGTGTGTGTGTTACCGGAGCTTGCAGTAATACATCTGGGTTCAGTCTGATCTCCAGTTTGATTATGGCATCTCCTCCCGCCTCCAGGGTACCGAGCCGACACACCAACCGCTCACACAGCTCATCTTCACGGGCACAAAACTGCACAAACATAGAAAAAGAATAAAGTCATTACATTATCAGGTGGGTGGGTTGATGATGGTTGACTTCAACACAAGCATCTCAAAGGATGCTTCATCAAACCTAAATCACATTGGTCATCATGCAACAGCAGTCAAAAAGTCCTGCTCCCTTTCGGAAACACATATATATTATTATTATTAATATGAAGACTTTTTTGTTTTGAATATATAAATATTATCATGAATGTGGATAAATACTGTATTTAAAAAATACGGTAGGCCTATTATTTATATATTCAAAACAAAAAAGTCTTCATATTAATAATAATAATATANAGCGGGGGCACACCGGGACACTCCGCGTCCGAGTGGCCCTCCACCCTGAGGATACCTGCCCAAGTAGCCACTGTAGCCTTCTTTTTCAGTGGCTGCCGCCACGTGGCCAGATGTCCGGTAGGGGGGAGCGAAACGAACTGTGCTGGACGACCCGGGCCGTAGAAGCCCTGACACAGGCGGCTCACCGGCCTCGGAGGTATTGGTGGGGGAAGCGGCAAGCCTGCACGCTCCACCGCCATAGCCATCACAGCCGAGAAGTCCTGACGAGCCGACCTCTGCTGATGGCCTTCCTGGCGGTCAGCGGAAATCCCGGACGACGAGGTGTCATCATCGTTCGTCTCCGATGCCCGGACCCGTCCGGGCTGCTGGGATGGCGAAGACGAAGGGCACTCACTGCCCGAGATCCTCCCTCTCCACCACGTCGAGCTCTGGGTCCTCCACCGGCGAAACGTAGCCCCCCTCGAACACCGCCACTCTGTGCAGGCGGATGGATCGAGTCAACAACCGGCAGGCGCTGCAGACTGCTGATGGAGGCAGGTTAGCCTCCGCGTGGTCAGACCCCAGACACTCGATACGAGTATGGGGATCCTGATAGAACCCGGACATGTAGGACACGGTTGCTCCGCAGGTGAGTCCATACTGTGTATTTTAAAGAAATCTTCTTTGTCGTTTTGTTATTATCCGTCTCTCTTCACTCAGTTACTTCTCGTATGCTGCTTAGCTGAAGAGAAAGGGATAGCAGTGAGCGGGTGAGGCCGCCTCTCATACGTCAGGTGTGCGCGCATTCAGATCGTCCCGCCCAGGGGCCGGCTACGTCTATGGAAGTCTCAGCGAAGGAATGCGTGCATAGGATATGGGGGAGTACCCATAGAGTCCAGCAGAGGGCGGAGCCTGTGAGAAATATAACAACCAATCACAGCAGTGCTTCTCTGGCTGGCTCTGTCCAATCACAAACAAGAAGTGTTCCCCCTAAAGGAATACCCTTTCCAATGTGAAATGATGTAGTGTTTTGTGAAATGCTACGGCGTTTTGTGAAATACTGCGGTGTTTTCTGAAATGCTGTAGTGTTTTGTGAAATGCTGTTGTGTTTTTAAAAATGCTGTAGTGTTTTGTGAAATACTGTGGTGTCTTGCACTTCAGGGCCACCGTAAAAATGTGTAAATATTGTGAGCATGTTGGCATGCCGGTGTTAGCATTTAGCTAAATAACTTGGTGTTACAGTTGTCCCTCTGCATCAGGACCCCCACTGTTTCAGGCAATGCTAATGTAGGTCTAAACAATGTTGGTCTTAATTATACGTTACGCTGTTAAAAGTGTCACCTCAACTGAGCAGGATTACAGACCACATGAGAGCTGTGACGTCTCACTGTGGTAACACTCCCAATACTGGACTATACTCCTAAACTTCTTTAGACGTAAGTAAAACTTTAGGTACACTTAAAAAAGGCCATTTAGTGACTGCTCATGTTGTCTTGCTCACAACTTTTACAAAGATACTTTACCAATACCTCAGTGAAGAAATATACTTTGACACAGTTGTCCCACAAACAAAACTTTAAACCGTTCATCAAAATGTATTCAATATATTAAAAAGCAAAAGAAGGCGACTAACTTTTTTAATAAGAATGGCCTTCTTTGTCACATATTAGGGTCATATAATGGATTAATGTATACATTCTTACCAGCTTTGGTCCATAGTGTAGGAGCCGATAAAGTGGCAAATACAAGTAATAAATAAAATACGTCACTGTGTTCCATTGTAACATCTATAACTATTTTAAGACCCTTACTTATATTTATGATGATGGTGTGTGTTTGTTAGTTGTTTTCAAAGCTATATTTTAGAGTATTTGTATGTAGCAGGGATCAGACAGTTCAATGAGATTAAAGCTGCACTGAATCCATTCACACTGTAGTGATAACTGAGGAGGAAACACCCCGACACACAGACGCTCTTATAGTTTAGGCGGACATTGGGGGGTGGGGGGTAGAGAGGAAACACCGTAACACACACACACACACACACACACACACACACACACACACACACACACACACACACACATGCACCGCGCGCAGGAGGGAGGGTCTCAGTGCGCCTCGTTCTCAGTTTCATTGACTTCTTCTGAAACTGAGATGAACTTAGTTTAAGGGGTTTTCTCTTCGGTTTCTTTGACTCAGCCTCACTTTTTCTGTGTGTCACACAATCCCAGAGCCTCGGGGTGCCTCGTTTTACGCACAAGTCGGTTAACGGACCGAGGAGCAACAGGAGGTTTCCATCCAGCGAGTCACACCGGGAACAAGAAGGATTTAACGGAGACTTTGCGGACACACTGCGGCTCTTTGGTCCCCTGTGCCCGGTACTGATCCAGCCTCTGCGCAATAGGATACCGAGTGGACCCACAGTCTGACCCGGGATAACTGCTGTCTCAAACGGGATAGAGGTAAAGTTAACTTGCCGTTAGTTATAGTCAACATATGGACTTAAATGAATGAGTGGAAAAGTTAATGAGGAAGGTTTTCAATTATAAAACAAACACGTTTGCTTTTTGTTCCTGTCTTAAACTTAATGTTCTTTTAATGGACTGCTGGTCAGATTGAAGTTAAGAAATTTTTAACGACATTGTTTGATAAATCAAAAATGATTGCTTACATTTATGACTAATACGCTTTTCAGAATATAAATAAATGTTAGTTTGAAATAATTCACTTAATGTCAAAATATCTCAAAACTTTTACGACTTAGAAATATTGTTAGGAATATTTCAGTCCCCATGCAGGGCTGGAACAACAAGTTTGGGGGACCGCTGCAGAGAAATGATTTTGTCTAATTTCTTTGAGTTTGAGATATTCCTAAATAACAATTAAATTAAACTGTAGACACATCACTAAACAATTGAATAATTGTGTTAGACTCTGTAATAGTCCTTTATGCTATGCTATGTGCTTAATTACCAGTTGATTATAATGAAAGTTACTACCAAGGTAACAGAACATTTTAGTAGGCTGTTGTCAGAGTACTGCTAGCAGCTAGTTAGCTTAGTTTAGCATAGTTAGTGTAAACAGGGTGAAACTGTTAGTTAGCCTGGCTCTGTTGGAACAAAATCCACCAAACAACCCCTCTAATACTTACTAGTTAGCACATTGTGTCTTTATAAAGCCAAAAATGAGTAAAGCTCTCAATGCTAAGTCAAATAAGACAGTGATGCCAGTACAAAGGCTTTTTGCCTCTTGAAGATGGTGATGATTAAGCCAATTTTGTCATACAATATGAACATTTTGAGGAGATGTGAACAAATAGGACTGACTGATATACTGACTACCATATTTGGTTGTATACGAATTAAGCAAACATCATGCAGCCTTGAAATTAGTGGTTAAAGATATACTGTTTACCGATATTTCCAATCTTAATGGTAAAATAGGCTAACCAGTCTCGGCAGTGTTCAATCAAATGGTCTGACATATTTGGTGTATTAGGGAACTTTAAGAACTGGACTAGAATGTTGCATTTTTGTGAGTGAGTATGTGAAGATGACGACAGACGACAGATTTTGTTTTGATCTTGTATATTGATAATAATTTCCTTCTTCTCTCTGGTGTCCCTGCAGTCTGTCCTCCATCATGTGTCCCTCAGCGGGCGGCATGTGTACGCTCTGCAGCCTGACCCTGATCCTGGTTCAGATCCTGGTCCTGGTCCATCCTTCAACAGGGTACAATCTGGATCAGGAGCACAGTCTGGAGTTCAGCGGCCCCTCCTCCTCCATGTTCGGATACTCAGTGCTGCTGCACCGTCATGAATCCCACAGATGGTATTTATCTACGTCTTTAACCCTTTTTGATTGATTCTTGTTGATCAGTTATTAATATTTTACTGATCTGCCAGTGATCTACTATAAATGATCTATTAATGCTATATTGAGCTCATTTTGATTATTTATTAATTTTCTATAGAACCTCTGTTGATCTGCATGTTGATTCTCTACCAACCTTCTAATGACCCTCTTTTGCTCTACTCTTGACCCATTTTTAAGCTATCAGTAAATTTAGATTTATTAAATTAACTTAATGGTGCTCTATTAGCTGCCTTCTTCACAGTAGGACTGTGTCTGTGCATGTGTGTTTGTCTATGCATGCTAATTAGCCAGTTTGAGTCAATGAGAGAAGCTCTTTGATGCTTCACACACAGATGCCATTAAGACACTAAGCAGACACAAAGACAGACCCTGTCTCTGTCTCCTTCTCTCAGGTTGGTGGTTGGAGCTCCGGTAGCAAACTCGACCTCCAATCCATCGGTCCGATCTCCAGGAGTTGTGTACCGCTGCAACGTCACTGCCGAGTCCCACCACTGCCATCCCATGCATGCTGGTGTGTTCCTGTCTGTTTGTGTGTTGTTTCTTTCCAGCCTTTGGAATACAAACATATTCATTACACATTGTTTGCTTGAGCATTATCTATAATATTACCCATCCTAAAGACAAACGTGTATGCGTATTTGCCAGACTGGACTTTCTGCATCATACAGTTAAAAAAAACACACCACAAACACTGTTATTTATTTTTTGGGACGTTGTTGGGCTGAACAAGACAACACTGTCAGCTTGTTAGCTGTAAAACACCACTGATTAAGCTATGAAGGCTGCATGTGTGAAACTGTTGAATTTATGTTTGTGTGCAGACGTGCTGGGCTGTGGGAAGACGTGCGATCCAGAGAGTGATCACCAGTGGCTGGGAGTCAGTCTGTCCAGACAACCTGGAGACAATGGAGGGCACATCCTGGTAACACAAACACTTTCTCTCTGTCCTTCACCTCCTATTGCTCCAGAGTTTACCAGCCATGTCACAAATGCTGGTATTGTTTTAGCCATATAAGTGTGTGTGTGTCATTATGTCGAAATGTGTCCTGAAGACACCTACAATTGTGACTACCACAGGCGCAATGTTGAGTACTTTGTCAGGTGTTTCTCTGTTTTGTGACGCCAAATTGGCCCGGGGGCGTAAAGTGAAGGGGGCAAAGGTACCTTCGCCCCCCTGCTCGGACTACATCTATCTTAAAACTTGACCTTCCTTTGAATTTTCATTTCAATTTCACTTTAAATGGGAGCAAGATAAATCAATTGTCAACAGCCGAGTACGTTTGTCAATCCATCAGTGAGAAATACTGTGAGAGAAACAAAAAACACCTCTTCCTTTTGGATTCATAATCCAACTTTGTTAAATAACTTACCGCTGTTCACCAGCAGTGAGACACCGAATCTAGTTTTCCATACTTGTTCTGTAATGTGTGATTAAAGCCATAATTGACCATTTTCTCAATAGGGAGGTACCGTATGTTTAACACCTAATAGGCTTTACTTCAACATACCAGCAATCTAAGATCTCCATTTCTTGAAGAGACTCTAAATTTAGTGATGTAGCAACACTATTTACAGCAGCAGCAGCAGCAGCAGCAGAAGCAGCTGTCTCCTCACTGTCACTCATTGAGACAGTGAGTGAAAGATTACCAGGTTACATTTTGGTTCAATTACTGTCAGGTTGCCTTACTATACTTTACTAACTGTTTAAAAATATTTACACTTTATGTTTATTTATTACTTCCTCATGAGGGATATTACTTACCTGTTGAAATTTGGTTTGTTCATTTGCAAGACTTTATTTTATATTTTTATTTTAACTTCAACTATTTTATGTCTTAGATTCCCATTTAGCTCTTATTTGAAAATATACATGTTTATTATATATTAGGTAATGTTCGAGGTAGCTCATGAAAAAGAATAAGTTAAAACTGGAACAGGGCTAAGTGGTTCCACACACACACACACACACACACACACACACACACACACACACACACACACACACACACACACACACACACACACACACACACACACACACACACACACACACACACAGCCTCTGTCACAGTGTCATGGGTCATGGGAATAACAAGACTCTGTGCTTCTAACTTGTGATTGTGTTGTCAGTAATGAGTCCATGTCACATGTGTCTGTTTATGTGTGTGTGTTTATGTGTGTGTTTCTCTGTGTGTGTGCAGGCATGTGCTCATCGCTGGAAGAACGTCTACTACTCAAGGAGAGACGTTCAGAACCACAAGCTGCCCAACGGGGTCTGTTATCGTTACGGGAGCGACCTGAGATACGCCCTACCCTTAATCCCTTGCTACAGAGGTAAACACACATACATTACAATACAACAAGATTTGGTAACAAATAAGAAATATCATCCTCCGTAATAATGTGTGACTATCAAAATGTTTGGTGCCTTCATTACAGTAAAGGAGACCCCCCTTGCAGTCTCGCAATTATAACATTTGGGATCATAATAATAATTCCTTATATTTATTGTGGGATCATGGCTAGGCCTCGGTTTTTTCGTTAATATGTGTGAACGTTGCAGCTGTTCAGCTTCAAGAGCAAAACATTTGGGTTTTATCTTCTTCTTATTTGTTCACCTTCACCTTTCAACATGTCTGTTTGTCTTTGCCTCTTACAGATTACCAGAAGAAGTTCGGTGAGGATTATGGGTCATGTCAGGCCGGTATTTCCAACTTCCTCACAGAGGTCAGTTAGATTCCTCAGAATCCAGTTTGCCTTCACGGTTTCCACCAGTAGACTGAATTATGTAGACAATTTGTATCTACATTATGACCATATATAGTAAAGCTTTAATAGAGATGTGTGTCACATGATATCAACTTGTGCTGTTCTCAGGATCTGATCATCATGGGGGCTCCGGGGACATCTTATTGGATGGGTTCAGTGTTGGTCTTTAACACGTCCAATGGAGCGATGTCGGTGTACCTGGACGAGGACGCTAGATCTGTCAACTTTGGAAGCTACCTGGGTAACAAATCAGATCTTATACCTATTGAAGCCATTGCTGATACCAATTTAAAACGTATACTGTTGAAGCCTTCCTTAAGAACCATCATGAGCTAAGCCACTGAGTTATTTAGGAAGTGCCTTATCTTTAATTAAATGACTTGTCAACAAATGTAGGTAAGGTTTGGTGTAGAAATCTGCTTCTTTCTTCTTTTCTTCTTTTAACCAATCATCAAAGTCTAAGTCAACTTTATTGTCAATCTTTCAGTTTGTGTGTACAGACAGAGAGATCGAAATAGTGTTTCCCACAATCCAGAGGAATAAAAAAATACAAATATATATACAAATATGTATACAAATATGTATATACATATATACTGTATATACATATTCAAAAAATCTATAGACACATTTATACACCTGCACACATTAAAAGACATAAATAAAAGCACAACGGTCAATATATACAAAGTAACAGTCACTTCAAAATCTGTGAATGAATATCATTATAAATAATTGTTATATAATGCTGGGAAGAATTGAAGAAAAAAGTACATAATGATACATTATTATAGGCCGCATTGTCCCCAATTTGGTAAAACAGGTATTTCAATTTCTTAAACATCTAAAATTCAGCTTTTCTACACACTCCAAGAAAACTTTGCCTGTAGAAACTCCAACAGTTAGACCGAAAGTGAGTTTCAAGAAACCAGAATGAAATTGTACTTAGGAGAAGCCTAAAACACAGGAAGACAAAAACACAAACACTTTGTCATGGAAGTTCATTTCAACACATGTGTGAGTGTATTTCCTGAGTCACCATGCATGTTGTTGGGCTTTTCATGGTAAACAGGAAGCTAAGCACAAAGGTGAGATGTTCTTCATATGAAGGTGTTTATTTTCTCTGAAAACATCTACGCTGAGAGAGTGTGCTGTCCTTAGTCAGGATTGTATGTGTGTTAAACAGAATTTAACAGGAAGTAACAGCTGACATCAAAGTAGGATGTTCGGTTAACTTTAACCCCATTTGACAGCGGTGGTTGTGACATTTTTTCTTCCACACTCCAACACACCCACACACACGTATTCTTGCCTCAGCCATAACCGCTACATGTCAAACCTGAACCAATAACCTTTTTGGCCACACTGGTGATGATAAACTAACGGTGTTATATCTATTTATTTTTTTATCTTAGTTTGACATTTTCAGTCCTATAATAATTAGTACAAACAAAATGCTGATGACTCATTAGCCTACGCTTGCTCACATTTCTAAAGGGTCACCATCCAAAAAGTTTGTGAATTTGTGGTTCAATTTTTTTAATGTTCTTATTTACTTTTCATCTGCAAAATGCTGAATTTGTGGAACTTTGTCCTGCTGCTGTCCAGGTTACGCTGTTGGAGCCGGAAACTTTCTGAGTCCTAGCACCGTAGAGGTAGTGGGGGGGGCGCCCCAATACAACCAGAGGGGCAAGGTGAGACCCTCCTGTCTGTCTGTTTACTTACTGCACAGAAAGTCTATATGTTTAAATAATGTTTAAAGATAGCTTATTTTTTTTATAATTAATTATTTTCATTTTTTTTTATCCATTTGCTACATTCCTGCAATACTCGCACAACACTCGTTTATTTGATATTACCGCCCTAAATTTAAACGTTATCATATTTGAGCTTGCACTCTTTTATGTCTTAAATTATTCTTTTGCTTTAATATGAGTGATTTAAAAAAAAAAATTGTATAGCATCTTTTTAATTATTTTCATTTCCATTCCTAGCTTGTTTTCAAGCATTTTTTCACATCTTAACACTATTGAACGTTAATATACCTCCTCAATAGTCTCTCAAGTCTAAATAAATAAATATTCATATTTAATGAGCGTTGTTGGAGAGATCCCTAGATACAAGATTTGTTTTAGTTACTACTGCTTCTCTGTAACTGTTGTGCATATGACGATAAAGAATTTGAGACGTGTTAGTGGTGTTAACAATGTCAAAACAGTTCCCACGTACCCTTGCTGGTGTTGTGAAAACTGGAGAGTTGTTATTGAGGATATGTAAATATTGGGTGTTAAGTAGTTTCGATGCTTGATGTGTATTTGTTCTGTGCAGGTCTTCATCTTTACAGTAGACGACAACATGCTGCGAGTCGCCTCTGAAGTGTCAGGAAGTGAGGTAAGGAGCCACTTAGCATAAGCATTCTCCATTCCAAACAATGGTATACTTAGCATTTAGCTTGTGTGCTTTTGTTGTGTAGCTGGGATCTTACTTCGGCTCCAGTTTGCTGGCGGTGGATCTGAACGCTGATGGTTTGTCCGATCTGCTGGTCGGCGCTCCCATGGCAACAGGCGTCACCAGGGAGGAGGGGAGAGTGCATGTGTACATCAACCAGGGGCAGGTGGGCACACACACAATATAGTGTTCGTACAAGGTCTTGAAAGTTTGTGGATATAAACAATTTCTGTAAACTATAATTTAGATCTGTGGATTTAAGATTCTCAAATTGTGCTTGTTTTCACTCTTTAAAAGCTGTTAAAACCTTGATAATATGTTATCACAAAACAATCGATATTTATCCGGGCTCTCTGTGGCGCCAAAATGGCCGACATTAGGATCAGGTTCTTCTGTTCCATTCTACATATGAACATCTTCGAAAATACCTGTTGTGTCGTCTGTTGTCTCACAAACTGACTCTGTCTCAGGCAAAGCTGATGGAGGCGGAGTTTCAGCTGAGCGGCAGCGACGCTTACGCCGCCCGATTTGGGGAAACCATCGCTGACCTGGGAGACATAGACGACGACGGTTACCCTGGTAATACCAATACTTCAGCTGCTCAAAGCAATATAGTCATTGTTAATATTACTTGAATAGATCTTCAGCTATGATTATGTCTGATGTCATTTATAACTGCAGTTTCTTACTACTACTCTACTTGAAACTCTACTGTTAATTAAAACGGCAAAAACTAAACAGAAAATAACAACAAAAATCTAAAATAGACAACAATAAATATACATTTTCAAGAATTGAAATGACGGCATAACATGAAAAGTATGGAAGGAGCCAGTAACATAAACAAATTGTAAATAAATTATAAAAATTAAGTGTATATTGCACATAAAAAAAGCACAATAGATATCAATTGTATGAAAATACATTGTTAATGTACAACTACAGCAACTACTACTGCGAATACTAACAATACTGCTTCTGATACCACTGTTACTATTACTGCTGCTAACACCTTTGGAAACATACATATTGCTAACAGTGCTCTAAATCAGCTTTCTACTATATATATATATATATATATATATATACTACTACTAACATTACTTTAAAAGAGTGTTTTACTTCTAATTCTGCTGCTTTGTAGAAGTTGCATTACTTTCTCAAGTTGTTTTATGAGCATTTCCACTGGAGCAGCTGGGGGTGCACGTTGCTGCTCAAGGGCACCTCAAAAGTAGTAATTAGGGATGTTTAAGAGTTTCTGTTTGGCTGTCTGCCCAGATACAAATTACCCAACATGCTAGTAATACTACTACAATACAAGTAACAACAAAAAAAACACATAGTTTGTGAATTGTATATCTCTTGCCAAGGAGACACATCCCGCCACCAACTGCAGTAACTGCCACTTCCTGATAAATAACCTGACTAACACAACGCCCTCACACTCACACTCATGAACGCACGCACGCACACACACACGCACGCACGCACGCACGCACACACACACACACACACACACACACACACACACACACACACACACACACACACACACACACACACACACACACACACACACACACACACACAGAGACCCCTCACCATATGTGTGTGTGCGTGAGGGGTGGAGTGTGTTATTAAGGTAATTAAAACTGTAATGACAAACTGTTGCTGCTCTGTTACTGATCCTGCCTTCTAATCTGCCACAGCTAGATACAAAGATAAAAGGGTGTGTGTGTGTGTGTGTGTGTCTGTGCGTGTGTCCAGTAGCTCTTTCTTACTACCCCAAGAAATCTTCAAAGGACTTCAGGTTAAATATTAAATGACCATGCTGCTGTTTTCTCATGTTTATGTACTTATCCTGGATACTTTCATCCTGCTTAACATTTCCCTGCAGGGCCTTTCCAACACACACCCTTTGCCCCCTCAGAAATGTAGACCTGACCTCCCAGAGGATCAGTTGGGACCACACATAAACAATCTGTAGAAAGTGTAAAATCTGTAAAAACCTGCATCAAAGTAGCTACATTCACTCATGGCTGCATGGAAGGTAGCGATTGCAAGTCCTCACAAGTACAGAAATCTAACCTATGTCTTACTAAAATGCAAGTCAATGGTTTTCAATATAGGCTCTATATACTTTCACAAATATAAAATGAACTGTGCTTATCTTTGTGTGTGTGTGTGTGTGTGTGTGTGTGTGTGTGTGTGTGTGTGTGTGTGTGTGTGTGTGTGTGTGTGTGTGTGTGTGTGTGTGTGTGTGTGTGTGTGTGTGTGTGTGTGTGTGTGTGTGTGTGTGTGTGTGTGTGTGTGTGTGTGTGTGTGTGTGTGTGTGTGTGTGTGTGTGTGTGTGTGTGATTAGATGTGGCAGTTGGTGCCCCACAGGAAGACGAGCTAAGAGGAGCTGTGTACATTTACAACGGCAGGAAGGATGGCATTTCTCCAACTCCATCTCAGGTTTTTATACATTCAAGCTCTTTTTAAAGCAAAAAACATTTACATGAAATATTAAATGATAAGCTCTATGGAAAATGTAGATCAATGGTGTCTTATTTTGCAGAATATGAAATGTTTTTAAATAGCTTTAGTGACAACTATCACTATTTATAAGAAACCTGGGTGTTCAAAACAGAGGGAAAATGGAGTAAATCAAATAATTAAATTAAATTAATATAATACTGGATCATTATTAGACACATTTAACCTGCTGTTTCCACCAAAACAAGGGGGTCGTTTTTGTCACTGAAGTTTTTACAAGAGGAGAACAATGACCAGCCTTATAAGATCATGTTCTAACCTGATTATCATTCTGATTCTAAAGATGAAATAAACAAACTTGTGTGTGTTTTCAGAGGATTACTGGGTCGACTCTGGGTCGTGACCTCAGGATGTTTGGCCAGTCGCTGAACTCTGGCATAGACATCGATGACAATGGCTATAATGGTAATGTTAAAACCCCTGTTTCCTGCCACAACATCTGTCATATTGTACATTAAGACCAAGTTAAACTCTCTCTGTCTCTGCAGATGTGGCGGTTGGTGCTTTCCTCTCGGACTCCGCTGTCATTCTCAGGTAAAACCACACTGAAGCTTTGTGCTGAAACCAAAACCCTACAGTTGTAGTTCTGTTTCCTCTTATACAGGTGTACAGGAAGGAAACTCCTTTATTTAGCTGATTTGGAAGGACATTTTACGGCAGGGGAAGCAGGACATCCTACAAAAGAATAACCAAACGTTTCATTTTATGCTGAGTAGTGGGATTTTCTAGAAGCCTTTAAATAATACAATCCATCTCAGTTTTTCCACACACTTTTAGCATTTGCTGTATCTGTTACTGTTGTCAACATGCTTTAATAATTTCCCCCAAATGTGTCCTGTGTGCTGTAGGACCCGCCCGGTGATTCAGGTGAAGGCGTCTCTGACTCTGCCTGAGCACATTGACCAGCAGGTGGCTCTGTGCCGAGAACACAAGACTCCCACCGTCTGCTTCAATGTGACCGTCTGCTTCAGTGTCAAGTCCAGACACTTCAAAGGGGCTATAGGTACAGTAAACACACAGATATTATGTTTATGTATTTTAAAAAATAACATAAAGTGATATGATGTCAATCTTAGATAAGCGATTTGATTTCTTGATAAATTTGTAAATGTGCAACTTTAATCTCAGAATTTTTAGATTAATTTATTTTAACCTTCAACAGCCCTAATTCACCATCAACTGTAGAGCTTAGATTTTTTTCATCAGAAGTAGAACATAAAGGACACAACCTTCAATGATATGGTATATAAGAATATATATATATATACGACTTGCCAACTGATATCTATGTATGTTCCTCTGTCATCTTCAGATTTTCAATATCATTTGACCTCTGACCTACTCCATAAACCATCCTTCCCTCATCGTTTCTATTTCCATGGTAACGGGTCATCCAATAGCACCAGGGGGCGTGTGAGAGCACGACATGGCCAGCTCACCTGTTCAACACACCTGGCTTACCAAAGGGTAACACACACTCACACACTCACAGACAGTAAACAAGGTTTTGGATGGAATAACATGTCGATTGCATTTGCTGTGGTGATGCTAACATAGTGTTCTTCCTCTTACAGAAAGATGTGAGGGACATTTTTACTCCTGTCAAGTTTGAGGTTTCCTACAGTCGCAGAGATACAAACACCCACAGAGCCTCTTCTAAAACCTTCCCCCCTTTGAAACCCATCCTTCAGCAGAGCGAAGGACACCACAACACCATCACCAACCAGGTACAGACCAGCGCTAACGCTAACTAGGTAGAGCGACAGATAATCTATCAGTACAAGTGATTAAGTCAAATATATTTGTTTATTATATTGGAAAACCAAAGCCCTAGCTGCTTTGCTCTGTATGAGATGTTCAGAAATGTTCAGGTATCTTTGAGTAGTTTATTAACAATAAAAACCTTGTTTGCAAATACTTTCCCCAAGTTTATAGCTATTTACTAGTTTAATAGATGGCTTTGATCTATTCTGATTTCTACAATGATAACTAACCCTTCAGTTTCCTGTTGGAGCTGCGTCAGTGTCAGATCTGTCCTTCCATTGTCAAACCGATCTGTGTTGAAGGTCAGGAAACAGCTAATCTAGCGCTAACCGCACACACACAAACACAGACAATGACTTCCTGCTAATCCAGATGTGTTTACAGCTGCAGCACATTAACCAACATCAGTCAGATCATCCCATGTCCCACTGACTTATGAACAGAGCAGGGAGGGTTAACATGCAGGAATGTGCAGCTGGAGTTCGTCATTCACAGGAGTTGTTTTTCATTTTCATTAAAGAGAAAAACTGCCCCATTCATAATAACTCTAATTGGTGAACTCTCTGCCTCCTTTTTCTCTGTCAGACTTGGTTTGCTCGCCCCTGTTCGCTGGTGAACTGTTCGACCAACATGCAGCTGTCGGCCCAACTTGAGCTTCCACAGTAAGAAACACACACATTTTTGAATCATGAAAAAGAGAGATGAAAGGACAAAAACATGAGCATTATTGTATTTTATCAGTACAGTTCAGACCCTTATCAATTTCGCCAGGAGGTTATTCCCTCACAGAGGCTATCACATTATGCTAATTAGCTGCTGGCTAGTTCAAGAGGGTTCATGAAAAACAACATCATTCACTTGATGTTGTTTTGCTGTTAGGTTCCTGGGGTTATTCACTTGTGTAAGGACATCGTTAGCCTAGTTTAGCAAAAACACTAACATGACTATTTCCAAAGTTAAAAAATACTGAAAATTGAAGTTTTTACATTTTTGTCTGTGAACAGATTAAACACATATTAGTATCTCATAAAGTAAACCAATATTTGTAACTATTAAAAAAGACCTAAGAGTAGATTCAGATCAGAAAATGACAAAGCATTTTATGAGCTGCAACCAAAATCTACAAATTATGCAAAAATAAAACGTGATCTTTAATCGTGTCAATATGAATCTCTTGATTCAAAGTGTTTTCAGTCAAGGAGTTTACATTATTTAATCTCTGATACATTAAAGTGAGATTCAACAAATACACTAATGTTAGAAGTGATGGGCTCTAAATCAAATGTTGTCTTGCCCTTTAGTGATTGGATGTTCATTGGACTGAAACATCAATGTTTTTATTTTGTTGTTATCAGTCAGCAGCAGTATTTTGCTCTCGGCTCTGGACAAACCATCATGGTGAAAACTTCCCTTCTGAACTCTGGAGACGACGCTTTCCTACCTCGACTGACGCTGCGTTTCCCCAACAACATCCACTACATCAAAGTACTGCAGAACGTAAGTTTACAGCATGCTGAACGCGCGGCCCGAATAAATGATCGGTTAATGGTTTTAAAGTTATGACCCTAATAGTTGAAAACTCTAACCAACTTCAAAAACTGAATTTTATTAAACAGAAATCTTACAGAATTATAACTATAACAACACAAATGACTCATGTAACAACAAAGTAATCACAACAAACCCCGTCTGTGTGTTTCTGTGTACTGCAGCAGGACAATGTGGTCAGTTGTGATGTCACACAGGAAGTCAACAGTACGATGGTGGGTGTTGACTGCAGCGTCACCAGCCTCCTCCTACCAGCCCATGCCCAGGTAAACCTTAGCAAATCACACACTAAGTGAAATGATTGTATCACAACACTGATGCCATGTTCCCGCTGCGCCAAACATATCAACTCGCCTCTTTGGTGTGTAGGTACTTCAATCTTCAACTCCAGATAGTACCCCTCAGTTTTGGCAGGACTTTCAGCTGAGAGTTTACACCCACGTTAGCCAGAATTAGGCCCTGTTTTCCCATATGTATTTGTCTAATTGATTTATGGGGACGACAATAGTGAAATTGGTGAAGGACTGTGCGAAAGCCTCAAAAAAGTTACGATGCAATTGAATTGAACCGTGAATTAATGACCACTACAAACGCTAGCTTTTTCCACTTACAGGCTCAGATTGTTATTGACTGTAAAATAACTAAAGCAAAAGGCATGGCGGTATCTCTATCTGGACAGACAGACATTGCACAGTTTTTGAGTAATGAAAAGACACTTGGCTAATCTTTCTCCTCAGCCCAGTCTTACCGAAAACAGCCTGTAGGTCAAAGATGAGGTCAAGTGTATCTGTACTTTTTTGTTCTGCAGATATTTTTTTTATGTCCTTTTGCCCAGTTGTGTTTTAAATGTTGCAATATAAACTGTTGAAATATCTGAGTTTCCCCCAGAAACAAGCAGAGCAGCAGTTTTAAGGTTGAATTTATTTGTCCGCACACTGATGCAGCTGTTAATTTGAAATCACTGACACATTAACTGTTTCTTTTAGTTGAACATCAGCTTCCTGTTGGACGTCAGTCCTAACAGCACAGCTGGTGACGTCATGATTCACCTCAACACCAGCAGGTAAGGACACACCTCCGCTCAACTCCAGAGGGGAAGTCTCAAGACGTTTCAATAAAGCTTCCAAAGCTTTTATACCAAGTGCACCACTTTTGACATCACAACTCTTGTACCCGTACATTTGTCTTTGAAGCAAGACGTAAGAATAAAGTTTGAGATATTATTCAGATAAAAATGTTCAACACATAATACATGCAGTGGTCATTTTGTTATTTAGTTATAACATTTGTATGAGTTAACTTCAATAAAAGTGTACATTTAATGGATTCCTCTTTATTATTGCTTGTTTAGAAAGAAATGTAGAAATGCTCTGCTTTGTAGAGAAGAAAGGATCTCTCTTATAGCTGTTATTCGTACTGTGAATTTAGCAATAACAAAATATATTTAATGTTTCAAATCTCTTTTTCTAGTGATAACTATGAGAAGGCAGAGTATCTCCATGACAACTCAATGAGTCTCCTGCTTCCTCTAAAATATGGAGTCAACGTCAACATCCACGGGTGAGTCAGAATCGGCATACTATGATTTAAAAAAAACGTGTTACTGTTACACACAAGGCAACACATTAAAGTCAACAAACTTATAAATCATTAGATTATATGTTTTTTTCTTCTAGAAAATAGTTTCTGTTCTCTAATGTCTATCTGTCTGTCTTGCAGTTTTGTGACTCCCACCTCATTTGTGTTTGGAGATGAAGACACAACTCCGGTTGACTGTTATAACGAAAGATTCAACTACACATACAAGGTATCATTTTACTCTCTTCTCTGTAAAACTGCTCTACACAATGGTTATATTTCCCATAGTACAACACATCTTCTGTATGTGAAACTATTGTCCCGTTTAGACCAACCTAATCAACTTCCTTAAAACTACTCTATACCTCAATTCTACTACAGTTCAGAGGGAACATTGCTGTTTTAAGTCAACTACATTTGTTCAACAGTCACTTTAACTTCTGGTATGAACTGTATGATGTTGTGTGTGTCTGCAGGTGTTAAACTCTGGTCCCAGCAGATCTGTAGACACTGTGGTGGACATCGCGCTACCAAAGATCCTCGCACCTTACCGACACAGGCTGATGCAGGTGGTCGACTGGCAGGTACGTACAGAAGTCATTTTCGTCAGCAACTATCTGATCAAAGGAAGACTAGACGAGAAAAAAACAATGTGTTGAGCATTACGTATATTCCACCTCGAACATTCATGGCAGTGATGGTTGGAGTAGAAGAAGCAGTAGAAATATGTTTAGAATCTGTGTTAATAGGAGTTGTCATACAAAAAGGTAAATTAAGTGTGTATTTATAAATCTATCTCAATGTTCTCTCCCTACAGTCCTCTCACGGTGTGTGTTCGATCAGTGACACGACTATTTCAGTCAATGAGGACTGTGACGTCCCCGAAGCTTCCTTCATCAAACAGATTGTCTTCTTCTTCTCCTCCACCTCCACCCGCAGAATGGTACACCAGACACACACACACGCACACACACACACACACACACACACACACACACACACACACACACACACACACACACACACACACACACACACACACACACACACACACACACACACACACACACACACACACACACACACACACACACACACACACAATAGAACATTACAGACTTATTTAAAGCAGCGTTCACTGGCAGTCACGTGTACAAAGTGATCAATTGATTAAAAAGCTACAGGCAGGACTGGGTTCACTCGAGGAAAGAAGTCAACTACAAATCCCATAAAGCATCAGTGTAAAAAAAATCCAACCAGAAAACTTAGAATTCTGCTGACATGCAGCTAATGTTGGGTGAAGTCATGGGTTGATCTTTGTGGAATAAGGTTTAAGACCACCTTCAGATTTATTTAGCAGATGTGACTTATGTGATTAACAGTATCAGTGACGTTCTTGCTGAAAAGAGACTATACTAGATGAATTTACAGTTAAAGAAAATAAATGTCATTTCATTTCAATTTTTATTTCGAACAGATTAAAAAAAGAACAAATAAAAAAGAACAAATGTGAAAAACAGAATACCGTATTGTTAAAATACAGTATTTATCCACATTCATGATAATATTTATAT